ATTATCTTGTTGCAGAAGATTACGCGGACTAATCCATTGTGACAGATAGCTGAACACCTTAAAACAACGCAAAGCTTCCTTGCTTATCGCTCAGTTCTTGTGTTTGCCATTGATATTACTGGCAGACATATAATGACGCGTTAACGTCACATATATCTTGAATCATCCTTATTCGCATAACCGTTTTGACAAATTGCTTCTACCATGTAGAAGCAGCCGTAAACGGCCATTTTACATAGCCAGGATAGTTAGAATCAACAAATCCTATCTTATTCAATTTGTTTGGACCCTCAGAATGTCAATGCGCCTATAGGTACGACACCGCAATGTCTGCAAGGGCTCCGCACAGTGAACGCTCCTGCTGTGGCAACTATCATCAGCGTAGTGCAGACGCTTCCAGGTTCTCGAAGGAAATATCGTGGAGATAGTTGCAAAAGTGGGCTCCTGCTAGCTTTATCAAAAAAATATGTTTCGCGAAAAGCCGTGGAAAGCTCGAGGTCGGAGCAGCGTCTGTACGTGAAAAAAAAGCTTACTGCGATGGACTTACTAGGGACGGCGATGCGGTGACAAGGACGTGCCTGAAGAAAGCAAACAAGTCTGGCCGAACGCTGGCGTGGTCGTTGCCATCAAAGCCTCGGAAGCTGACTGCTTCTCTGGCCCTTTACCTAGCTAGGAAAAACGATGCGAACGATTGTCTACGTCGATGTTGCCAATATCGCTGTGATAAAAATGCGAAAAAAGTATTCAGCATAGGCGCAAAGACTCCGAAATTAACGTCTGCCTACTTCTGGCTGTCTCCTATTTCTTTGTCCTTTTCCTGTTCCGTTTTAGTTCTGGCTTCGGCTCCTTATCCCAGAAGATTGGAATACTTGAACAGCTGAGTGCCTTCATTCGTCTGAGCGGCGACGCGCACTGCGCGAGTTGAGTAATGCCGCCACGTAGGTGACCGTAGCGACGGTGATAGCGACTGTAGAACGCTTTGGAGCTTTTCCCATTACAGGAGAGGGTGGGAGGTAATGGGACAAGGACGTACCTCTTCTTTTTTTGCTTAGACAGAAATAAATCTGCTGAAAGTCGCGTCGATTAAGAGGTTCCGGTTAAGAGCGAGAAGCGGTGGTTCTAATTCTAAGTACTAGCGCCAACTAAAAGAAATGTAGCAGACGGAGAAGAAGAAGAACCAGTGGTGGTAAGCAATGGGAAAACAACTTGACTGCATTGAACTTGGTCAAACGCCCCTCTCCTTCTCAGTGGGCGACGAAAACGTATGTCCACTATTCAGAAAACAACCAGCGCCTCACCATTCTGGAGCTGCAGGGGCCATGAAAAGAAGGCAGCGGTACGAGAAAGAGAGCTTGCCTGAACGGTTTATGTTGATTTGTTCATCATCCAAGAGACTGCACAGTCTGAATAAAAAAAAAAAACCAGAAACCATTTGCAAATTGGTGCAGAGCACAAACAAGTCTTTACTCAGATCTTTGTTGCGCACATCGCGTCCAGACATCTGTGCACCCATTCGTGACGGGCTTTTCTTTCTAATACCTAGTACCCTGAGCCTTTGGTCTGTCTTTTGATAGTCGTGCGTAAGACAGGAGAAGCTTTAACGAAGTCAAGTGGCAAGAAATGGGTAATGTAACCAGAAGCTGCTGTGCCGCGAGCAGATATAGCTTATGTGTTACGTCATAAGAAAAATTCGTCAAGCCCACGCCATATCTCATGGTAGATAAGCTATCGCCCGTGATGATGATAACGATCAATATAATCATAATGATTTTTTGTGATATATCCTAATTATAATGCCACGTAGCAGAGTGTATTCTATCCTAGGTATTTCCGCCGCTATTGATATAACGACGGAAATACGTAGGACGTAGACGCCGCCAGATAGATTGCTTGTTTGCTGCTAGTAGAGTATCGTCATTATATCATCGATTGAAATTGCTAAGCAACTGAATATGTATTTATGATTTAGTATTTATTTAATCGTTTTCAAATAGGTTTGGCGATTGAGTTGGGGCTTATTTGATTTGGAACGTAATAATGATAACATGTGAAGTATAACTGGGTATTTAGGGAAAAATGCAAACGTTTAAAGATTAAGCAAACACTCATAACATATAGTGGGACCTTTACGAATCTGCTAAGCTTACGAGAGAATACTTGTGAAAGCTATAGTAAATTGTTATTACAAATATTAAGTATGCGAAATTTAATGAACAAAATTGTTGCTTTCTTGGGGGTGAAGTAAGCTTCCTATTATCATCGTGAGATTCTCAGAATCCTACTACCAAAAGTCGGTCTGTCGAGGTTTAGATTAAATTACCGCTCATCTTGTGGACCCATAACCGGCCTTTGTGACGCAATGCAAAAACTACCGCAAGACAATTTTAGTCAATGACGGATTATTTTTCATTAGCAAAAACCCGATTTCAAAATACTTAAACCAGCAACTGCTTAATGTTATGTTCGCTAGTTTAGGAAGTGCTCCCTATATCAGCGCAGCGTGTTATTTTCGTAGAAGCGTACCGCTTAAACAATCATCCTTCATAACGCACCAAATTGAAGACATTCAGGCCGAGCTTAGGTCTAATTTTTTTATATTAAATTTTCACGTTTACAAGACTTGCATCAATTATTTAAAGGCAAGTGGTCAACATTCTGCCAATAAAAAGTCATTCTCAAAACAAACGCTGCTAAACCAACCCTAACGGAACCTGCTCGGTAGAATAACGAATTGTTATAATGTATTATACAAATGCGACCTGTTTACAATGACGCAGCTAGAGCGCTGAGTGGGGTTGATGCGGTGGAAACGAGAAGAACTATTCTACACAACCTTTATTGAGGGAGTATGCCACAAGCTTAGACTAATATCTTCGCAGCTAGGCCGCATCGGCAGAAATTGTTTGGCAAGGTAAGGACGCCTACCTGAAAACAGCCGCCGTAGAATACACAGATAACAAGTTTGGCAAACGAGACACGGAGAAATATCCTCGGACGCCTACTAACCGAACGATGTTTCTTCCTAAAGGGGAAACATCGAGGTCAACGAGCATCGACAAGAATGATTGCACCAAAAGGCTACTATTGTTAACGTTCTGCCTAGACCGCGTTTAAACCGTGCGATACGATTGCTTTAATCACACGTACTCGGCGTATTATCAACAGAGCGAAGCTTCTGAGCGGACAGCCAGTTTCAAAACACCGCAATGGGAACACGAGTCCGTATATGGAAGAAGGAACTATTCATAGTATAGTGCTTTTTTTTCTTAGTAGAGCTACTTATCAGTAGTTTATATGCTGATAATTTTCAAACGAAGCTATATTTCCACATGTAAAATGTGAACTTTTTTGAGTGGAATACTGTGCACAAGAAAACGTAATGTATCTCTAGAACTTTTCCTAGGTTCAAGCCAAACTTCGAAAAAACACCAGGGCTAATTTTACTTGAAGTTAGATATACAAACTGAGGTTTCTTTCTCATTCTTAGTGTCGCTCTTAGCTGCACCATTTTTAGCTTTAACTTTGACGTTCAAAGTAAATTACGTGTGCAATAACGGGTAAAGAACGACTTTTTCCTTTAAAATTGTAGAATAGGTTTTCTAAACGAACGAATTAATAGTGTAGTGATGTTTAAATTCATTATAAATACGCCCTATTTTATGAAAAGCGGCGGGTCGGTCCTACGATCTGCGACTGATAACTTGGACCTACTTCATCCTTCTAGTCGCCGATTTCACGTAGATATCTGCTCTGCTCAAATAAGCTGCTGTGACTAACGTAAATCGACTAATTTAGTTTACACTAAAACAGTTCTGAGTTCCGTTATTTCTAAGCCTCGACCGTTCATATTCTTGCGCCAAGAAACACTTCTCTGCATGCTACGTCTTCGGCACTGCTTACAATCATGGCTTCACAATTTAGATTTTTCTTCTGCTCAGTTCAATTAGTACCTTTGTACTACTTACCGTTTCGGTTTCAAACAATCTATATTTTCTAATAATTCGAAATATATTATTCCACAACAAGAGTGCTCCCTGTGGGGGCACTCCCAGTAATTCCACGAATAGGAAAATATATGATTCTACACAATATGTTTCGGCGTCTTGTGGGGGGATAAGTGGAGAATCAGGTATCCGTGAGGTAAAACACTTTTTTTGGGAACGACCGTGTTTTCCGGGCCATATGTGAGTTGATCGATCTAGATAGAATTTGTCTCACCTACGACGATGCTCACGGAATTTCTACTAATGACATATGTAAGTAGAGGAAAAAGGCTTTGAAGCTACTCCTGAAGGATATGTGTATGGGACTAGGTTTATAAACTTCTCCACTGATTTCTCTTAACTACGATTTTTTTTATGACCCCAAAATTCAGAAATGAATTGCTGACTCATATATACCGGAAAAGACTACCCGGCTCAGCGCTTGAATTTAGTAGTTCTCGTAGAAATATTTTCATAAGTGTAAAAAATTCTATATTACACTACCTCAATCATATAGATCAATGCATACCCATCCGCACAACCGTATTCATCTGCGTGGCCATCTGTGGAAATTCAAGTTCACGCCTGCCGTGAATAATGTGTGCAGAAAGTGCAGAAAGCGTGTGTCGTTCTGCTAGAAGGGCATTTTTACTGATGACAGTCAAACGTTTTTCAGCTCATGCGGCAACAGTGTGTCTTTGCTTTAAAAGACCTGGCGTCACATTGTCATCAGGTGACACCCATATATATATTGTCCAACGTTTAAAGGATTATAATTACTATAAATAGATCGAGGCAAATTTATATAGCTCAGCGAACACCGTAAATCTTAGCATTTTAGCCAGTCTCACAAGATGCTAATCTGTCTAAAATTCGGCGATAAATTATATAGATAATAGATAGATTTACATAACTTTGTATTCAGTTTACATATCCATTGTGTACAATGTGTAAAAAAAAAAAGGTAACTTCATATCAGTATCTACCTAACGGGTTTTACGGGGTACTCGTTCTCACCTGTATGCAACAGTCATTGCGCTCGACCCCTGTCATGCAAAATCTGACAAACCGCCTTGAGAAGTTGCAACTTTTTGAATTTCGATTTTCAACTATTTACTATGGTCCTTTAGCTTTGAGTTATTATAGGTCCCGCGAATCATAGTCAACCATTAGATTCAAGTCAGTGACTTTTTCTAATACTGTGTCAGACGGGCTTTCCATCTCGCATACTCTATTCGATCGTGAATGCTCTGAGTGCCCATCTGAGCTGCGCACGGAGCGTCCATAGGCTCAACAACCGTCTTATACAAATACCCCATACAGGTTATTTACCTCGATCCAGTTAGTTAACGTTCACAAGCTATCTTTCTTGTCCTTACGATGGACAGCCACTGATCTCGCACTATAGTTCACCGTTCAGCAATCACTGTAACATTCTTTGCCATAAATCCTCAACAAACATCGCACAAACTACCAGCTCGTCTGTATGAGCACGTAATCAAGCACTTTCACCTAATCAAACGCTTCATAGACTTAATCCAATTTTGTATCTCGGTCTTGTCGTCGCCAAACCCTACAAAGAATTCTGGTTTGTTTTATCGTAGCCGATCGCATCTCGAGGACCAATTAACCTCTGAAGCATCGGCGTTCGTGACGCGTCAACGGTAATAGGCGATCGCTGTCGATCAACTACAATGATCAGTGTTTGAGTCATTGGAGATTTTACAATCCATTCATACTCACACACACTTCATTTCAGTTATCATCGATGCTTGACACTATCGCTGCGCCATCACCATCGTAAACGTGACATGGATCACGATTATAGATTCCTTACTAGCAGTACTACAGCAATAGACTGTGCTGAAAAGCGCCGGTTTCTACCAAATCTCCCCTTTTTCCCTAGCACCAGTATTCACGACCAATCTGCTAGATTCTGTCGTCTCGTTGAAGGCATGCTGTCAATCGCGCGCTGCAATGTGAAAGGGCGAGGGCCTAGAGTGGAAAGGGCCGACTATGGACCATTTCTCGTCTGGCAGGAAAGGGACCAATCATAGGGGCCTGCCGTTACGAAATGAAGATACGAGCCTACGGTTGAAGACTGGCAGGTTGCCGAGGAAGATAGGACACTAAGTGCTGTGGCAACATCGGCTCATTTCACGGAAAGTGAAGAAAAAAGCATGAAGAAAATGGCTTATTGGGCTTCGTTACGCCTTTTTGGTCCTGGTGGAGGCCTCACTGTAGATCATCGTCTTTATTGGTCGCATTATAGGATGGTGGGTGGAAAGGGTAGAAAAAAGTGTCCCCAATCCCCCACATTCATAGATTCTATTCAAAGGAGCTCCATTCTCACGTTGGATACGGCATTCTGCTGTTAGTCCAGTAACGACCAGGCTTAGCTCGATTGCGGTAACAGTCGTAAAGTTGTGGCAGGTGCCAACAGAATACGTGGACGAATGAAAGAGCATTTATTAATAAATCGACGCATAGAAACAGAAAAGGAAATAGCGATCGCCAGTCTGAATGTTGGATCGGAATCAACACTCTACATATTAGTATATGTCTCGCCTCAGATGTTTTTTATGCCCGACCCTATGACTGAAGTGCCTGACAACATTCGGTTTTGTGGCTTCTTTGGACAGAATTACGGAGGTTGAGAAGTACCTGTGCTCTACCTCCGTGCCACATAACTTTCACCAAGTGTATCTTTTCAGCTTTACCCTATTATCTTTTCAATACAGAGACACTTTCTAGTAAGAAAGACTTTCATAACAATGGTTTGAGCGGGTATCCAACTTCAAATGTGAAACTTACGCATAGTTATCGCTTGGCCAATCACCGATACAAATACTTACTAGATGCTATGAATTAGTGTTATATAATAATAGTGCAGAATTATTACACCACGTGATTTTCTTACCGCAAGTTACCAATACGACAAGATAATAAACAAAAGCCTCTTAGGAGGACTTAGTGAGTCGGTCATATTGACTTAGGCACAACAGCAATTTTTTAGCCTTTTGAAATCTCCGAGGACAGGCTCTTACCATAGCTTTGCTAAGGAATGGAGTCCTAGTTATGTCGACAGTTTGTAAGTAGGCCATATCAGTTATGATAGTTATCAGTTACTTTTGTGCACACTTAAATGATTGCTTCTCTGCGCTTAAGTATGAAACGTCACCACTTGAAGTCTTTCTGTCAGAGAAACAATCTTATGTTCAAAGTTTCAAGTTCCTAATACTATAATGACATCTAAAATATTTGGACATGTGGTATATTTTAAAACATATAAAAACAAGTATTACATGTTGAAAGCGCTGGCCTCAACTGTGTTACAATGGCTGAACTAATTTGCAGAAGGACGGATCTGGAAGAAGAGAAATTTACGGATTTTACTAACTTTGAGCTAGATGTAAAGAACGATAATAAGCATGGCGATTGATCAACACTAAGGAATTTTGACGCCGGCTACAATCAGCTAGGGGCTTCTACTGAGAAAAACACATTGTTTCTAGTTATTCATTTTAAAATATCATTCAGCACCTATTACTATTACCAACCCGACAAAATGTAGGCCATCTTATTGATAAAGCGACCTGCGGTAAGTAATTGCCGTAAAAGCATACTTTGTTTGTAAAATATATCTCAATACTGCTTGTACAAAATACATCTATATCTAGAATACTCGGCCTATAGCGAAACTATCCTCGTTTCAATTGACGCTTGTGAGACATCACAGATCACCTGCAGATGTACGAATATATAAAGCAGAACACCTCAAAACTATCCTACTATTCTGTTTTTTCAGAATTAATTACGTATGAAGCAGAATGTAGTTGATACAAAATAAGGGTATATTTTTTTAAAATTAAGCAATCGTTATATACTTCAGTTCTGCAAAGACATTGACTAACAAAGATATTCAATTAAGGTAGAGGATAATACTGCTTTTAAAACTAAAAATGACGATTCTAATTCACTTAACATGATACAATGACCCATCCACAACGGTAAGTACCTAAGGATATTGCCCAACCATATAAAGCAGTTGGATGACATATGCTACACAACAAAAATGCTGTTGAAACTATCGGGAAGCTAATTATGTGGCCGTATGGCGAAAATAAATAATTGGGTCAAATGTAGGACTAGTCATTCAACCTTTTGATAGGCGCAAATCCTGGCAGACCCAAAAGCATTTGCCTTTTTGATTTTCGATAAAGTTTGTTTGTGGTCGTAGAAGTTACCGGGAATCGAAAATAAGGGATCTAAATGCGATCCGCGACGTATCGGTTTTACAAGCCAGCACAAAACGTTTTCGCTTCGGTAGTGTAGCATTTCCTGCACCAAATTTTAGGTGCAGGACTGTAGAAAAAGTTACAGGTGCTCGCTATTATGTACAAAACCTCAACAAACAAGCATACATCTAGGCTCTCGTCCACGGCCTTTAACTCTTCTTCTAAGACACCAATAATAATCAGTCTTTTTTGTGAAATTGCAGACTGCGGTCATTTTTTTCAGTTTCCTACAGTTCTTTTAAAATGAATTGGTGCTGTTACGCAGGCTAAAGGCTTATGACATATGTACGTCGATACCCGTTAAATATTCGGCAATCCTTAGAACACTTATCTGTTATAACTATACAGCTAATGTAGTTGACACCCATTTATCTTGCCCTGTCGAGACTCTACACTGCGTATTTTTGTCGACTTTTTCAAAGTTTTAATTATATTAAGGTATACTAAAGCTGCTCATTCTACACTTGGCGCAATTATTTAGCTTTCTAAGTTCACAGCCGCAACACAATTATGAAGCGTTCGCCGTTGCCCTTGTAATACAATTTAAGAAGTACTCTAGATAAAAAATAAAATGCGGGTACAAGTACCAGATGGCTGTGCGAACTTTCTGCTTATAAGGTCATCTCTGAAAGTTGAATCATTATATCATGTTCAGTGAATCTCCGAAGCGGCATTTTGGTAAGTGAATAGATACTTTGATTTGCTTTAAAAGGCATCATTCCTAGTCTCGTCCATGTGGTCTTCGATAGATGTCAATTTTTTTGGCATTCGTTGAATATTCTGTGGAAACACTAGGCTTCCGACGTGACTACAAAGGTGGTTTACTTAGTCTATTATCATATTTGTCTTGTCTACCAGAATGCTGTTCGTAAAATTAGCGAGAGTATTACAAGGAACTGTCTACACCGGCCATGCTATACTTTTTCGGCTCCCGCGGCGCTTCCAACATGATGTGATGAAAGCTCTCTACCTCTTTCGTATGCTTCTGGCCGTGTTCCCTGTGCCCGGCAATGTGTTTTCCATATCGGCTCTTTTCTAATCGTACATAGCATTTGCCTTTGCCATGATTCATCAAAGATCTAAAAAAAAGGATTTAGCGGTGCAAAAGTATCAGATTAACAGGCTTACTTCCATATTCAAGACGAGGGCGTCCTTCGCGCTAATGCTTCAGCCTGGGGCAACGCGAAGCTTTGTTGTACAATCTACAATTTGCCGGATCTGAGTGAAGATTATTAGGAAATTTCTGTGTTTATTTCACCGTCCAGCCATAGGCAATAAAACAGTGTGTATATCAATAAAAGATAGCATGATATTGGCACTGATGCAGGCTAGGTCAATTGTAGGTAGTGCGATTACAGTTTTACATAATAATGTCAAGATAAGGAGTGAATTTCAAGGTCGCATTATTTTTGGGTATCTTAGAAAGCTAAATACAAGCCCTCGACTAACAATCACGTCGCGCATGACCGACGACAACCTTAAACCATCTTGTTGAGACTTAGGCCAATAGTAGGACGCCTTGTATACTGGATTGGCTGTTTAGATGAGATTCAAAGTCACTGCTGATTCGAGTCTCAGAACACAATGGGTGTTAGTAAAGAATGTTATATTAGATTGTTGGTAGGTTTGGTCGTGGAAATTCATCGCAGGTACATAATAAGGTACATGTTTTTGTAAAAAAAAACAGGGCCAGACAAATTTTTTTTTATGCTTCTCGGCATCGTTAACTTCGCGACGGACTGTAGTAGCTATAATGCGAAGGAGACCAATTTGTATAATAGTATAAACAGATAAGGTAATGATATCCATGTGAGTGCGCGGAGAGCTGAAATTAAAAACGCAAATCACTTGAAAGAATATTGTATCTCAGTTGTAAATGAATATAGGACTTCATATTTTCAAGTCCGGCGCATTACTTGTCTCGCTCCCGCAGCAGAGAAACGCAGTTTCTATAATATAAGGGTCCCTATAGATCTCGAATATTTAACAAGTACACCCATTAACTAGTACTAT